GCACGCTGCAGACGTTGATTGAAAAGGAAGGGTGACGGAGAAAAGGAGAACGAGAGACAAGTGGGGCGAGGAGAAGGGCATGGGGTTGAGTTTGTGTGTCGCTGTTGATGCACTGCCCCTCGGCGAATGGGTTGCTTGGACAGGACGCAGCCGGGATTGCTTGGCATGGCAGCACAAGAGCTAAATCACCAGCCAAAGCACCCTACGTCGCCGCTGTTGATGCACTGCCCATCGCCGAAAGGGATTGTTGGGCAGCATGTTGACTGGAAAGGAAGGGCAAAGGAGAGGAGGAGGATGAGAGAGAATTGGGTCTGCACACTGACACGTGTACTTGCTGCTGTCGCCATTTCTCTTGCTCCCAAGGGTTCAAATCTCCCATGCCACCACTCACTGATGGTGCAGGTGGGTGTGCCGTCGCGGTTGACAGCTGGCGCGAGGAGGCCCGAGCACTGACACGTGTACTTGCCGTTGCCACTCTCATCCGCCACACACGTGCCCCCCCCACAGGGTGACGTGCCGCAGGGGTCCGTGGTCGTGCGGGCTGGCGAGGGGTAGGGGTGGGAAAAGTAAGGCGGAGGAAAGAAAGAAAGAAAGAAAGAAAGAAAGAAAGAAAGAAAGAAAGAAAGAAAGAAAGAAAGAAAGAAAGAAAGAAAGAAAGAAAGAAAGAAAGAAAGAAAGAAAGAAAGAAAGAAAGAATGAAACTAAGGAAAAAGGAAAGAGAGAGAAAAAAATCCGGAAAAAAAAATAATAATAAAATAATCAAGTACAGCCCTCACCATTCACAACGGGGTAGAGCCCGTGTTTCACCAGCATGCCACGTGCCACACAGCATGCCCAGCCGCACCTTGGGCAACCAGCATAGCAGGGCTCTGGTGGAGAAAGAACCACTCACCGTTCACAACGGGGTACAGCCCGCGGTTCACCAGCATGCCGCACGTGCCAAACGCCCCGTTCTCCATTCGAATCTTCATGTACCCGCCCTCATCCGAGTCAACCAGCGCGCCACAGGTACTGGGAGGGTGAAGAGCATCTCACCATTCACAACAGGGTACGGCCTCTCTCAGACCCCACACTCACCGTTCACAACGGGGTACAGTCCTCGATTCACCAGCATGCCGCACGTGCCGAACGCGCCGTTCTCCATCCGTATCCTCATGTACCCGCCCTCGCCCCACTGCGGCCCCCAGCTGTTTTTCAGAATGAAGTAATTCTCCCAGCTGCCCGGGGAGTCATAGTTATACCCCACAGCCAGCATCACGTGGTCCAGCAGCCCCGTGTTGTTGGTCGCTGTCGCTGTAGCTGCCAAGTTCCCGCTATCCGAGACGGTCCCCAGGGGGTTGTAGCAGCCCCAGCCCTGGTATATGTCGCCCTGAGAGGAAAGGGCGGGTGGGAGGGCGTGTGGATGGGTGGGTGAGTGGCTGTAGCCGTTGCTGCCAGGTTCCCACCATCCATGACGGTTCCCAGGGGGTTGTAGCAGCCCCAGCCTTGGTACATGTCGCCCTGCGTGGGTAGACGGATGGGTGGGTGGGTATGCGAGGGGTGATTGGGTGGGTGTGGCGAGGGAGGGAAGAGGGGAGTGCTTCTCCAAGTTGCTCGGCCCATCATAGTTATACCCCACGGCCAGCATCACGTGGTCCAGCAGCCCCGTGTTGTTGGTGGCTGTGGCTGTGGCTGTGGCTGTGGCTGTGGCTGTGGCTGTGGCTGTGGCTGTGGCTGTGGCTGTGGCTGTGGCTGTGGCTGCTGCGCCCCGTCCGCTATCCGAGACGGTTCCTAGTGGGTTGTAGCAGCCCCAGCCCTGGTATACACCGTTATGAGAGGGGTGAGAGGGGGATTGACGGGGGGGGGGAAGCATGCGTGGTCCAGCAGCCCCGTGTTGTTGGTGGCTGTCACTGCCATGCCACCGCTGTCCATGACGGTCCCCTGAAGGTTGTAGCAGCCCCAGCCCTGGTATACACCGCCCTGAGAGGGGTGAGAGGGTGGGTAGGTAGATGGGTGGGTGGGTAAGTGCGAAAGGGGAGACAACAAAGGTTCAATCCATCTAAGTTGGTTCCCAGGGGGTTGTAGCAGCCCCAGCCCTGGTATATGTCGCCCTGTGAGGGTGAGAGGGCGGGTGGATGGGTGGATGGGGTGGGTGGGGAGGGGTATGGTGAAGATGGTACAACTCAGAATGTCATCGAACAGAGGCACATAAGGAGGGGACGATAGTATGCACAGCATCAGCTGCAGCACAAACTCAGGGTAAGCAGAAGCAGCAGCAGCAGCAGCAACAGCAGCGGCGGCGGCGGTAGCGGCGGTGGCGGTGGCGGCGGCGGCGGCGGCGGCGGCGGCGGCAGCCTTTGTCAGCAGCAGCAGCAGCAGCAGCGGCGGCAGCAACAGCAGATCACCAAGCAAACAGACTCACAGCGTAATCAATGAAGTCCTGCGCAGAGGCGCGGATGGTGACGATGACGGGCTGCTTCTGCAGTGCGAGAATGAGCCCCAGCGGCCCCGGCAGTGGCACCTGCTCGTACATCGCGATGTTCCACTTGTCCTGAGAGCGGTGGAGAGCGGTGGAGAGGGGTGAGGGGCGGTAAAGGAGAGATAAACATTGGCCAGCTACCAGCCCCAGCAGTGTCACCTGCTCGTACATGCTGACGTTCCACTTCTCTTGAGAGCGGTGGAGAGGGGTGAGGCGTGGTGAGGAAAAGAAAGGGCGTGGTAAGGAAGAGGGAGCATGAGACAAGCATTGGCAACTTGTCATGAGACCAGCAGAGGAAGGAGAGCATGCATGGAGAGGGAGAGCATGGATGGGGAGGAAGAGCATGCATGGTGAGGAAGAGCATAAACGGGTAAGAAAAGGAACTAGCATTCAGGAACCCTGTTTAATGGTGCCATCCTACCAACCAACCATGTCTTAATAGCTTGAGTTTATTAGGCCCTTACACCAACACCGGGGGTGGTGAGTTTCTTGGAGCCGAGATTGTTGGTGTAAGGGCCTAATAAACCCAAGCTATTAAGACTTTATCAAATTGAAAACATCTCCTCGGGGTCACCTCCAAGGGTCCCTGAGTACCTGGAACAAGACCAGCCCCTATTTTCGGGTCCGAGTTTGTAGGGAGAGGGGTCAAGAATGAATAGTCATCCCCTATCTCTGCCCATCCCCTCTTTCTTCCTATCCGCCCATCTCCCTCTAACCATCCCAACCCTCCTCCTCATCGCTATCCCACCCCCCTCTTTCCCCTCCTTTCCCCCATCCGTCTCACCATCTCTTCGTTAACGCAGAACTTGCCGCTGACACCCGCGAAAGATTAGCTCGCCTTAAGGTGACTTTTGAGTCGACTCAAAAGAGGGAACCGAGGCTCCTGTTGACTCGACCCTGAAAACTCACCGCATCCTTCTTGACGCTGCACCTCCCACTGGAACCGGTATAAGCATAGCCTGCCTCATCCTGCAGCCCGTTCTTCACGGCATACTGCAGGGCAGCCTCGGGGTACCCCCCCCGGCACGAGGCAGCAGCGCCCGTGCAGTCCACCAGCTGCTGGACCGACAGCCGCACGCCGGTGGGGAACACATCATCGTCCGTCTCTTTGAGCTTCAAATATGCTCCCTGCACCGCCCTGGCTGTTGCATAGGCCCAGCAAGAACCTGTCATAAGGGGAAGAGAGGGGAGGGGGGAAGAGGGGGGAGGGGGGCAGAGGGGGAGAGGGCGGGTGCGGGGGGAGATGATATTGTGGCGTCTGGAAAGGCAACAGTGCCAGCGCCGATGGCGGTCCAGTGAAGCGAAGTGCAGTGCAGCAGCAGCGCCCGTGCAGTCGACCAACTGCTGCACGGACAGCCGCATCCCGCTGGGGAACACATCATCGTCCGTCTCTTTGAGCTTCGCATACGCTCCCTGGACCGCCGCGCTGCCGCGTACGCCCAGCAGGACCCTGGGAAAAGAAGAGTTGATGAAATGAGGGCCCAAGTCAATAAAGTTTCAAAGTTAACAGCAGTCAATGCACTTCGACAGCAGTCAAAACAGGTCAGCGGCAGTCAACGCACTTGGGCAGCAGTCACAGTCCACAGCAGTCAAAGCAGGTCAACAGAAGTCAGCGCAGCAGTCAACGCTAGTCAACAGCAGTCAACGCGGGTCAACAGCAGTCAGTAACAGCAGTCAACGCGGGTCAACAGCAGTCAATAACAGCAGTCAACGCGGGTCAACAGCAGTCAATAACAGCAGTCAACGCGGGTCAACAGCACGCACCGCAGTTGCCCTGGTCGAACTCGTCGTCAGGCGAGAACAGCTTGCTGTGGTCAACACTCTTCTGGAAGTCCCAGGTGAGCTTCTGCGAGGTTTGGTCGAGCGTGAGACCCACGGTGAGGTAGCGCGACACCGTGTTCAGATTCGGCAGCTTCGCGGGATCCGTGCTTGGTGGGGGGACGTACCCCAGGCTGCGGTCTGGCGGTGGGGCAGGGGGAGGGGGAGGGAAGGGGGCGGGGGAAGGGGCGATGAGCACGGAGAGAAGCGGGGTACGCATGGCAGCAGCAGCGGTTTAGGCTCCAGGTGAGCTTCTGGGAGGAGGGGTTGAGGCCGAGACCTACGGTGAGGTAGCGCGACACCGTGTTGAGATTCGGCTGCTTCGCCAGGTCCTTGGTGGTGGGGGGGACGTAGCCCAGCCTGCGGTCTGGGGATGGGGAAGGAGGAGGAGGGTCAAGGAGGGGAGGGCAAGGAGGGGAGGGCAAGGATATGGTGGCTTGGCAAGGTCCATGGTAGTTGGGGGGGTGAAGCCCGGACTGCGTCTGACAGTGGAGGTAGGAGGGGGAGAAGCAGGGAGTAAGGGGTTGGGGGGAGCAGCAGCAGTTCAGGCGGCAGCTTGGCAAGGTCCTTGGTAGTGGGGGGGGGTGTAGCCCGGACTGCGGTGTGGCGGTGTGGCGGGGTGAGAGCAGGGGAGGGAGCGGAGGGAGCGTGGGGACAAGGCGGGGGAGTGGTTAGAGAGGGAGGAGTGAGGGGGAGGAGAGTGAGAGAACCCATGGCAGCAGCAGCATGCCGCGTGCTGTCCACCCCTCCACGCTAGCTTCCACCCCGTGCCGCCCCCGTGCCGCCCTCGTGCCGCCCTCGTGCCGCCCTCGTGCCGCCCTCGTGCCGCCCTCGTGCCGCCCTCGTGCCGCCCTCTTGCCGCCCTCCTGTCTGATGACTTCCTTTCCAAAGCACCATAACATCAAGAATTGACGTTCACAGTCCCCGCCCGCGCACCCCATGCCCTTTACCCCATTCCACCGCACTCTACCCCTCGTTGCGCCCCCGTGCGACTCTCACCAACGGTTGTGGTGTTCCCGCGCGCGCTGTTCGCGTTGCTTTTCCCGCGCCCCGCTCCTCCGCCTCCCCCCGCCTGCCGAACCAGCTTCTGCAGCGCCTGCACGCGCCGCTTCACCCTCGCGACCCATCTGCGCGCCGCCGCCGCGAACGCGTCTTTAGTTAAGTACGAGGCGCGTTCGGGCGGCTTGTCAGCGCCCGCTAGGTCCGCGCCGCCCAGCAGCGGCGCGAGGGCTTTAATCTCCGCGCGCGTCTTCGCGTCCACCGCCAGCGCCGAGAGGTCCGATGCCGCCGCGCCAGCTGTCGCGTCGACAGAGGTCGCGGTGCCCCCGGAATCAGCGTTTGTCGTTGTTGAACCAGATGTGTCCGCGTTTGTCGCTGTACCGAGGGTGTCTGTAATGAGGACGGGGATGAGGGCGGCGGGAGGGGGGGGGGAGAGGGGGGGAGAGAGAAAGGGGGGATGGAGGAAGGAGGGGCGGAAGAGGTGGTAAGAAAGAAGCGGTATAAAGTTGCGAGAAGGGGTAGAAAGTCGCAATTTTACTACAGCCTGGGTACTGAGTCTGGCGCGGTGCCGTGCATGCGCTTCCGCGCCGAATTCGGTGGTAGATGCGCCGACCGATCAACGCCGCCGCGCGGGGCGGAAAGGGAGCGCGCCGCGCTCCGATAGAGACATGAAATGGGCGCGCTGCGTTTTCTGGGAGAGAGGGACGAACTGCGTGCTGTCCTAGGAACGATTCTCCGAGACGTCTTTCGACGCGCCTCAAGAGTACGTCATCCGCAGATGGTCTGCGGAGCTGGCTGCCGGCTGCCTCGGCGGCGGCTGCCACTCTTCCGCCTCACCCCGCGCGCATTCGTTCCCCGCGTGTATTCACCGTCCACCGCTTTCCGCCGTCGTCCACCAATCTTCCCCGTCGTTCACCGGCTCTTACCGTCGCCCAGCGGTCGTCCACCGTCTCCTTCCTAACTCCAAACGGAGCGGGTACAGCTTTCGTTCCAACCCATGCGCGCCACGTCAAACCCACGTCAGCATGATAGGCCGCTTACCTATCCGTCGGCCAGCGGCGGCGGGGCTGACGGTGATGATCAGTAAGACAACTGCTAGTCGAAGCGCGTGGGCTGGAAACGCCGAACCGCGATGATCCATTGTGTCAGAATCCGCACAACCTCCCCCCAAGTGGTATCGCGCCGCTGTCGCACGAGATGCGCGAGCCGGCTTACTTGATGCCTGAACTATGCAGACACGTCAGCACTACTGAATGCGCGCGGGGGCGAAACGCGGACGGGGGAAAGAACGCGTGTGGGAGCGGGGACGGGGGTCAGAATGCGCGTGGGAGCGGGAACGGGGGTCAGAATGCGCGTGGGACCGCAATGCGGTCGGGGGAAGAAATGCGCGCGGCCCGCGGGTGGGCCGAACTGTCGGGACGACGTGGACTCTAGAATCAGGACCTAGCGTCCGCCTCAGTGGTGAACAGTATATCTGGTTTATGCTACATTTACTGACACGTGGCTCGTCGCGAGACGATTCGCGCAATGTGTGGCAATTGTTCAGAAGCAGCCAGATAAACGAGGCCGAAACTCGAGAATTTTGAGAGGTGGGCAGGCATAGAAGAAACTCGTGGAATAGAGCAACAATGACGAAAATCGGGGGAGATTACGTATTATGAAGACGCTTTTCTGACGGATGTCCAAGGCAAACCAGCCACGGTTTGAGATGTTTTCAGTGAGAAGGAAGCAACCTCCGCTGAGCCTGATGGGGGAGATATGTGCAAAGTTTGGTTCGCCTGCAACTAATTTTTCCTGCCCATTCGACTCAACTGTAATGTACTATATTGCACTGTATATTACACGCATTTTTGTTGCGAAGTGACATCGATCGATTACCTACGGAACTGGAAAAGTCGGGAAACAAGGTTTCAACCCACGACGTAACCAGGGGAAGGCTCCCACGCCAAACCGCAGGTTGAAAAGCCCACACCGATGATTGCGGTAGCGAATTTACGGGAGCGCGGAAATCGGATTTGTTGCTCACTCACAGGTGGTTCATCCGAGCCGCTCACCCTTTCAGGTGCCGAGTTGACATTTCTAGCTGAAGCGGCGCTTCCATCTTCAAACAACCCGAATTATCGTTTATGAAATGACCACGATTTTATTTAACGTCATTCTTCAAAAGAAAAACAACCCTGAGCTTTGAATGCAAAATGCTAGAAAATGCCTGGGTTTGTTACTGCATAACATACGTTTCACAAATGAAAGATGAGTCTTTTATGGTAAGTCTCTCGTAAAAATTGTCTGAAGCTGCCCGCCAAACTGTTTGTGGATTCATCCCGCCAAGATTGAACATCAATAGATGACTGCGCCTTCACCTGGCGCTAATCGCTCGCAGAGCGATCATCGGCGGCTGCTGTTTTCGTCGAATTTCTTCCACCTGACCTCCCGTGGAGTGTTTGCGGGGAGGGGAGCATGCCCCACTCTGCTGCCCTGCCGTGCCGCAAAGCTCGCTGCTGTCACTCTCCCTGCTCTGCTGGCCCACAAGGAGCACGATGCACAGCGTACCACTTATCCGCACCGCGAAGTGAAGAACTATGCTCTGACCTTCCCGGACTCTACAGTACAAAGTACAACAGGCCGGCCTACAATGTCCGCGAGCGGCAAAAGAGTCTCGTACGATAGAAGACAGGAAAACCCGTACATATCTAATCGACGTTGTTTTTTTACTCGAAGTGTCGCTCTTTTGGTTTTCGTGATATCTGCACATCGATCGAGTTTGCGCCATTGCGTACCGTTTTTTTTTTCTCGAGTTACTTCTACATCTGCCCTCCACCTGTAGGCTTCGCTTACGCGGCTCCCCCTCGGCAATTGTCAGCTCACGTCGCGCGAAGCGCGAAACGATAAAGAAGCGTGAATTGCGCACGAGGCCGCAACGAGGCTACGTGTCTGTACAGCTGGCGAAAACCAGCATACTAGGTCCTGATTTGAAAGTCCACGTCGCCAGGACATCTCCGACTCACCCGCGGGCTGCGTGCATTCCTTCCCCATCCGCGCATTGCGATCGCGCCACGGGCATCCAGTAAGGCAGGCTCGCGCATCCCGTGCGACAGCGCCGCCAATACCACTGGGGGGAGTTGCGCGGCTTCACACCATGAATCGCCGCGGCTCGGCGTTTCCAGCCCACGCGCTTCGACTAGCAGCAGTCCTATTCATCGTCACTGTCGCACCCGCCGCCGCCGCTGGCCGGCGATTAGGTAAGCGGCCTATCTTGCTGATCAGCGAATAGGTTGTCGTCGCGGCGCGCTTTGAAGTACTCCAAAACGTTAGGAATGAAACGCTGAACGACAACGGGGCAAAACGGTGGACGACAGCGGAAGTGTACACGGTGGCAGCAGCCGGCAAGCCGGCAGCCGGCAGCCGGCAGCCGGCAGCCAGCTCCGCGGACGTACCGGAGAGTCGTTCCTACAGGAGCACGCAGAAGTGGTCGGCGCGCGGCTCGCTCGCGGCCCCGTGCAGCGGCGTTCATTGGTCGGCGGCGCGCTGCGACCCCGTGACTGCTAGTCACCACATCTACGACTAGCCCCGAATCACGTGCGGTGGCGCATGGCGGCGGCGCATGTCACCGCGTCACACCGCGGCCTCAGACTCTAAACTGCAACGCTCCATCCTACCGCTTGTTTCTTACAACTCCTCCGCTCCTTCTTCCCTCCCCCCTCCCCCCCCCCCCCCCCCCCTGGTTTTTCCCTCCCCCGCTCCGTCCCCGCCCCCATCTACATCATCATTACAGAGACACTCGATACAACGACGAACGCTGCCTCCGCAGGCACCGTGACCTCTGTCGACGCGACACCTGGCGCGTTGGCATTGGACCTCCTGGCGCTGGCGGTGGACGCGAAGACGCGCGCGCAGATTAAAGCCCTCGCGCCGCTGCTCGGCAGCGCGGACCTGACGGGCGTCAGCAAGCCGCCCGAGCGCGCGTCGTACTTAACTAAAGACGCGTTCGCGGCGGCGGCGCGCAAGTGGCTCGCGACGGTGATGAAGCGCGTGCAGAAGATGATTCAGCTGGCGGGGGGAGGCGGAGGGAAGGGGCGCGGATCCAGCAAGGGCAACAGCGGACGCGGGAACACCACAACCGTTGGTGAGAGTCGCGCGGGGGCGCAACGAGGGGTGGAGTGCGGTGGAGAAGGGTGGTTTGACGGTTCTCAAGGGTGTGCGCGGGGGGGATGTGAGCGTGAATTTTTGCTGGTAAGATGCTTTGAGAAGTGAATTCTCACTCGCCTCCCCCTCACTCTCTTAATTCTTCCCGCTTCCTCCCCCCCACCCCCCCTTTCCCGCCCCTCCCCTCCCTGGCGCTCCTCCCTGCCTTCGCTTCCCTTCCCTTCCCCCCCACCGCCAGACCGCAGCCTGGGGTACGTTCCCCCTCCCAGCACGGATCCCGCGAAGCTGCCGAATCTGAACACGGTGTCGCGCTACCTCACCGTGGGTCTCACGCTCGACCAAACCTCGCAGAAGCTCACCTGGGACTTCCAGAAGAGTGTTGACCACAGCAAGCTGTTCTCGCCTGACGACGAGTTCGACCAGGGCAACTGCGGTGCGTGCTGTTGACTGCTGTTGACTTCGTTGACCCAAATTGACTGGTGTTGACCTGGTTTGCTGGGATTTCCAGAAGAGCGTTGACCACAGCAAGCTGTTCTCGCCTGACGACGAGTTCGACCAGGGCAACTGCGGTGCGTGCTGTTGACTGCCGTTGACCCGCGTGGACTTCTGTTGATCGGCGTGACTTTTGTTGACCGGCGTTGACTCCGGTTGACCGGCGTTGACTTCTGTTGACTGGTGTTGACATCTGTTGACCAGAGTTGGCTTTACTGGCGGGCGTTGCCTTTTCGTTATCGCCATTGTCTTCTGTTGAGTGGCATTGAGTTTTGTTAAGCCGCGTTGACTTCTCTTGACCTGCGATGACTCTGTTAACCCTCCCCTCCCCTTATCCCACGGTCCTGCTGGGCGTTCGCGGCAGTGCGGGCGGTGCAGGGCGCATTCCCCGCAACAACCTCCCCCATCCCCTCTCCTCCCCCCCCTTCTCCCCCCTCCTCTGCGCCCAGGGTCCTGCTGGGCGTACGCGGCAGCGCGGGCGGTGCAGGGAGCGTATTTGAAGCTCAAGGAGACGGACGATGATGTGTTCCCCAGCGGCGTGCGGCTGTCGGTGCAGCAGCTGGTCGACTGCACCGGCGCTGCTGCCTCGTGCCGGGGGGGGTACCCCGAGGCTGCTCTACAGTATGCGGCTAAATACGGGCTGCAGGACGAGGCGGGCTATGCTTATACCGGGGCCAGCGGCAAGTGCAGTGTCAACAAGGACTCGGTGAGTTTTAGGAGTCACAGGGTGCCTTGGTACCCTCAAGCAGCGGTACAGCATGTGGTGATGGTCGGGCTGCAGGATTATGTGGGTTATGCCAACATAGGGTGTCAGCTGCAAGTGTAATGTTAACAAGGACTCGGTGAGTGTTCGGTCTGCAGGGAATGCATTCTAGTCCCCTAATCAACTGGGATAACATGGCATGTTTATTTGGTGGGTCAGCGCACCCATACCCCCCCAGGACGACACCTGTAGCCCTTGGGGAGACCACTTTTGGCCATTTCAGTGTCCACTTTTAACACCGTCGACCCGATATGCGTCAGGGGTTTTATAGCATCAGCATGTATGAGCAGGTGCTACTGCTGCCGGGGCCGCTGGGGCTGGCGCCTGGCCACTGCTCCCTCTTCCTTATTGTGTGTTTTCTCTTCCCTACCACCCCTCACCACCCCTCTCCACCCCTCTTAGGACTCTTACAGCATCAGCATGTACGAGCAGGTGCCACTGCCAGGGCCGCTAGACTGGCTGCTGGCCAATGCTCCCTCTTCCTTACCATGTGCTTTCTCTTCCCTACCACCCCTCACCACCCCTCTCCACCGCTCTAAGGACTTCTACAACATCAGCATGTACGAGCAGGTGCCACTGCCAGGGCCGCTAGACTGGCTGCTGGCCAATGCTCCCTCTTCCTTACCATGTGCTTTCTCTTCCCTACCACCCCTCACCACCCCTCTCCACCGCTCTCAGGACTTCTACAACATCAGCATGTACGAGCAGGTGCCACTGCCAGGGCCGCTAGACTGGCTGCTGGCCAATGCTCCCTCTTCCTTACCATGTGCTTTCTCTTCCCTACCACCCCTTACCACCCCTCTCCACCGCTCTCAGGACAAGTGGAACATCGCGATGTACGAGCAGGTGCCACTGCCGGGGCCGCTGGGGCTCATTCTCGCGCTGCAGAAGCAGCCCGTCATCGTCACCATCCGCGCCTCAGCGCAAGACTTTATCGACTATGCAGTGAGTTACTGCTGCTCCCTCGAGCTTGGAGCTCCCTCATACTCATTGGGAGCTCTATGCACCATCCGCGCCTCTGCCCAGAACTTTATTGACTACTCGGTGAGTGACTGGTGTTCCGCTGCTGCTGCTGCTTCCGCCGCTGCTGCCTCTGTTGCTGCTGCTGCTGCTGCCACTGCTGCTGCTGCTGCTGCTGCTGCTGCCGCTGCTGGTGCTGCTGCTGCCGCCGCCGCCGCTGCTGCCGCTGGCGAGACTTTGAGGGATTGAACCATGCTCCTTCCTTCCCACCCGCACCCCCGCCCACCCTCCCTGCCTCCCTCCCTCCGCCCCTCACAGGAGGGCATTTACGAGGGGTGGAAGTGCTACAGCCCCGTGGGAGAAGTTGTTGACGACACGAGGGGCACAGGGATGGGGGCGACAGCCACAGCCACCAACAACACGGGGCTGCTGGACCACGTGATGCTGGCCGTGGGGTATAACTATGTCGTGCCGGGCAGCGCGCAGAATTACTTCATTCTGAAGAACAGCTGGGGGAAAAACTGGGGGGAGAATGGTTATATGAAGATTCGTATGGAGGGTGACTCGTTCGGCACGTGCGGCATGCTGGTGAACCGAGGGCTCTACCCCGTTGTGAATGGTGAGGGAACCATACTTTTCTAGTTTTTATCCTAAATGCCAGCAAGAGCGTGGGAGGGTGGCGAGCATGATCGATCATGGGTGTCTGCTTTATTTTCTTCCGCGTTTCGGGGCTCGCTAGGAACGAGCGTTTTTCTTCCGCTGAGTCACGTGGTTGTGTGCGTTTGGAGTTATTACCATGCCAGCAAGAACGTGGGAGGGTGACGAGCATGATCGGTCATGGCTCTCCGTGAATGAACAATGTCAGCTTCATTTTTTGCACCTGTGCGGATTTCTCGTGTTTCCTGTTCTTATTTTTTTAATATATATTTATGTTTTTTTTTTTTAATTTCTCTCTCGTTCTCGTCAAATCCCTCTTTGTACCCTCGTATCCCCCTTTAACTTTTCCCCTTGCTCCCTCCGTCATGCCCCTCTCCCATCACCTACCCCTCGCCAGCCCGCACGACCACGGACCCCTGTGGCACGTCACCCTGTGGAGGGGGCACATGTGTGCCGGACCAGAGTGGGAACGGCGAGTACACGTGTCTGTGCACGGGCCTGCTGGTTCCCGCTGTCAACCGCGACAAAACTCCCACCTGCACCATCAGTGAGTGGGCGCTTGTGGGATGAGAGGGTTGCTTTGAACCGCGACTGCACTCCCACCTGCACGATAAGTGAGTGGGTGCTTGTGGGCAGGGGAAGAATGCTTTGAACCCCACCTGCACCATCAATGAGTGGTGGTATGGGTGACGTCACCCCTTAGGCTCCTGAGGTTTTCTGGAGTGTGTTGACCATTTGGGGTGCGTTGACCCCTTGGGATGCGTTGACCCATTGGGGTTCTCACAAAGCCCCCCTCCTCTCTCATTCTCCTCTCCCTTTCACCCTTCCTTTCCAGTTGAAATTTGCAGTGTGCTACCCACCAACCCGTGCGTGATAGGGCAGTGCATCAACAGCGATGACAGCGGTGACCCCCTCTCACTTCCCCATGGCTCTCTCATCCTCCTGCTCCCTTCCTTCCACAGTTGAAATCTGCAGCGTTCTACCCACCAACCCCTGCGTCGTGGGGCAGTGCATCAACAGCGGCGACGGCGGCTACTCGTGTCTCTGCCCGCCCAACTACAAGACGAGTGTGCTCGCCTCCGGCCAGGTCACCTGCGTGCCTGGTGAGGCTAGGGGGAACGTTGCATGTTTTCGGAGGAGGGAGGGGAGAGTGGGGCTCTTCTCTTCTCTTTTTCTTTTCTCCCCTCCTTCACTTCTCTTCTCTTCTCTTCTCTTCTCTTCTCTTCTCTTCTCTTCTCTTCTCTTCTCTTCTTTTCTTCTTTTCGCTCTTCTCTTCTCTTCTCTTCTCTTCTCTTCTCTTCTCTTCTCTTCTCTTCTCTTCTCTTCTCTTCTCTTCTCTTCTCTTCTCTTCTCTTCTCTTCTCTTCTCTTCTCTTCTCTTCTCTTCTCTTCTCTTCTCTTCTCTTCCCTTCCTTTCCCTTCCCTTCCCTTCCCTTCCCTTCCCTTCCCTTCTCTTCTCTCCTCTCTCTTCTCTCCTCTTCTCTTCTCTTCTCTTCCCTTCTCTTCTATTCTCCTTTTCTTTCTCTTTTTTCGTGCTGTCCCTGATCCATTTTAAAGCACTAACCATGTCTTACATTGCACGTCCCACCCCACACGTGGCATGGCAGAGATATCCACGAGCACATCAGCAGCGGTGCAGGGGACATACACAGTGCAGGGGGGAGAGACGTGTGGCGGCATCTACGGCTTCATCGGCCTCACCCAGGAGCAGTTCATGCAGCAGAATAAGGTGAGAGGAGTGAGATCAATGAGAGATATGAGAGCGGTCCCTGCAGCAGAATAAGGTAAGGAGAGGGAGAGTTATGAGAGACATGAGAGTGATGAGAGCAGTTACTGCAGCAGAATAAGGTGCCCGAAAATACAGAGCGAACAGAGTGATCAGAGAGCGGTGCATCGCATATTTTTGCAAAAAGGCCCCGCATCCTTTCCCTCTCTAAAATTCTATATCTCAACCCCCACTATCCCTCAGGATGTGGACTGTGACGATCCCAAGGCGGGTCAAGTGCTCAACATCTCAAACTCTCAGCTCCACCCATCCATCCCTTCCCTTTCACATTCCCCCCCCCCCCCCACCAGGGAGTGGACTGCGACCATCTCAAGGCGGGTCAGCAGCTAAACATCCGTTCCATCCATCCCTGCTCACCTTCCCTACCCCGTTTCCGGCTCTATTCTCCCCTACCCCCAATCTCAACTCCTTCCACCATTAGGGAGTGGACTGTGACAATCTCAAGGCGGGTCAAGTACTCAACATCTCCATCCCCTCTACGGCTCAAGTGTGCCGCGTGCGCTACACTGTCACCCAGGTGCGTTACATGTCACCCAGGTGCGTTACATGTCGGCTACACTGCTAGTGTGTTTCATGTCACCCAGATGCGTTACATGTCACCCAGGTGCGTTACATGTCACCCAGGTGAGTTACACGTCACCCCCCAGGCTACACTGTCACTCTCTCCTTCACCCACTCTCTCCCCCTGTCACCCTTCCACCCACTCCCCTATCCCCACACACCCATTTCTCTCCTTGCCTCTTTCCACCCTTCCCATCTCCTCCCCCTCCACCTCCCCCTCTCCTTCCTGCTCCCCTTCCCCTGACCACCCTCCCTCCCCTGTCTGCCAGGCGGATGCAGCAGCAAGGAGCTGTGATCCCATCTGTCCTCCCCCCTCGCTCCTCACTCCCCTTCCCCTGTCCGTCCCCTCGCTCCTCACTCCCCTTCCCCTGTCCGTCCCTCTCCCCTCTCACCCCAGGCCGACGCAGCAGCAAGGAGCTGTGATCCCATCAACACCCTATTCGGCATCAATATAACGACAAATCTCTGCTCCCTCCCCCCTCACTCCCCTTAAACTACACACCCCCTTCTCCCCTCTCACCCCAGGCCGACGCAGCAGCAAGGAGCTGTGATCCCATCAACACCCTATTCGGCATCAATATAACGACAAATCTCTGCTCCCTCCCCCCTCACTCCCCTTAAACTACACACCCCCTTCTCCCCTCTCACCCCAGGCCGACGCAGCAGCAAGGAGCTGTGATCCCATCAATACTCTCTTTGGCATCGATGTAACGACCATCAACCCCAGCCTCGACTGCTCAACCCTCACGCCCAACCAGCAGGTGAGTGTGGTGCGGTGCGGAACGGTTGCAATGGTGAGTAGCGGGGGAGAGGTAGGGCCAGGAGCAGCAGACGACAGCCTAAAAATCAAGCCTGACTGGCTCGCGTGCTCTCTCCCTCTCCTCTCTGGCATCTCTCACCCTCTTCCCCTACCTTTCCTGCTCTCATTCTCTCCTTCAACCTCCTTCAATCCCTCCCTCCCATCTTAGATCTAAAATCCAGTGGGGGACGTGGTGCCAGGAGCAGCAGACCACAGCCTTCGCTCGGATTACTTGACCACAAATCAGTGCTGAACCTGCCGCCGACCCACCCCCCCCCCTCCTCCTCTTCTCTGCTCCCCTCTCTCTTTCTCCTCCCTTTCTTCAGATCTGCATTGAAGTTGGAGACGCGGTGTCAGGAGCAGCGGACTACAACCTCTGCACGGATTACCTCTGCAGTGGTTCACGTGTGCCCCTCTCCTCTTCCCTTCTCCTCTCCTCTCCCTGTCCTTCCCACCCACTGCAGATCTGCATCCAAGTGGGTGATGCAGTCTCAGGAGCAGCGGACTACAACCTGTGCACGGAGTACCAGCCGGTCACTCAGTGGTTCACGTGTGCCACCGCGGTCGCCAACTACGGCATGTCGTGGCTCGACCTCTACCGCCTCAACCCCGGCATCAGCTGCGACTCGCTCAGCACGCTCACTGCCTCCGAGGTGCGTAAAGCCTAGAAGGGGCGTGGCTCTAGGGAGGGTGGCTTGAGAAATGGGCTCAACTGGTGGGGTGGGGCATGACGTGGCTCAGCCTCTACCGCCTCAACCCCGGCATCAGCTGCGACTCCCTCAGCACGCTCACTGCCTCTGAGGTAAATTCCGAGGCGACTTCAAAGTCATTTGTGAGGTACCCAAGAGGGTTAAGGCGCTATGGAGGGCATCTTTGAGGGTTCACTAGTTCCGAGGTACCTTGATGGGTGGGGCTAAGGGGGGTGGCACGTGACGGTGGGCCACTGGAGTTGTTTCCGAGTTGAGTATGGACGGGGTAGGGTAGCCTTTTCGAGGGACATGTGTGCGCGATCCTCCATACAATAACGTGCGTTTAACTTAGTCGATGGAAGGCCGTGCCAACAAGTGGTATCAGAGTTAAAGTTCTTGGGTTCGAATCCCAGTGTGCACCAAGTGAGCGTTAGTGCCCTAACGAGACCCAAGTGATGGAGAAATGACCCTTGTGATGGGGAGATTGTTGGTGTGGGAGGGCTATGGGCAATGGGCACTGTAATCATACCCCAGTGCGTCTTGGAAGGATATAAGTGTGCTACCCACCATACAAACATGCCCTTTTAACCCAGTCGGTAGCAGGCTGGGCCAACAGCACATATAGCCCTAGCGTGTGCTGTGTGGTGCCGGCGGGTTTGGCATTAGCAGCCAAGCAGTGCCCACGCCAAATGCAAAACTTGACATTAAAGACATCTCGAAGATTTCACGTCTCATACTACTTTCTCCCTCTTTCTCCCCTCCTCCCCATCCCCCCAGATCTGCGTCGCTGGCACGCCGTTGGGAGCGGTGGCGTGCGGTAAGGCGCGGTCGAGGACGGTGGCGAACCGGAAGTATACGGTGGTGGCGGGGGACAGCTGTGCGTCGCTGGTGGTGGTGCAGTTCCAGCGCCAGCCGTCGCTCATGAGCGACCTCAACCGTGGCTGGATGTGCCGCTCCCAGAGCCTCTTTGCCGGCATGCCCCTCTGCATCCCCTCTTAGTCGCAGCGGCGTCATTGTGTCCCATGACACTGCTTCCCCTGAAACTTGGCATGGCCCAGCATGGCGTTATGAGTACCGGTAGTGCCGGTACTTTGAATCTTCTTGCCCAAGGAGTACAGAAGTTTCACCTTGAAACTTCTTGTCCATGTTCCAATGTATACCTATCTAACTTGATTTGCTGTCAGTTGTATTGTATTTATGGACCCTATGTTATATACGGTAAATGGAATAGTTGTGCTTGTGCGCTTGACCGGAAGTCTGACACGAACAAGTAACATACTGTACCCTAATACGGTGCGCATGGGAAAACATGGAAAGGCGAAGCCAATACTGACCAATGGCCGGGACAAGGTCAAGAGATGAATGAGCAAATGTCATCTCACAAAAAAGTTGTCGTCATGAGCATAAATACGAAAGCACCGCAAGCACTTTCCAGATACCGCAATGCACTACGGTATCATAGGGTATGACCAGTGGAGTATGTCACTTAACTACGACTACTTCCCGAATTGTTTTTATTTCCCGCTTGCCTTCTTACGTATCCATTTGCCAAAAAAAAGAGCTTCATTCAAGTGCCAGAGCCATACCCTGCCTGCACAGACCCGCTGCAGCAATCTTTGAACGACTAACAAGAACGACTAAGGGCCCTGCCATGGGTTTACATTCTTCTTATGCAAAGGGCTCTCTCCTGTGCAAACCTGCTTGCTTACCCTTGATTTCTAACCATAAGAACCACTAGTGCAATACCGATTTCTTCCCAGTTCCCTCCCCTTCTTACACCACTCTGTGCCCCAGCTTGCTTCCTTACCGTGCACTCGAGCAACCAGCGGTGGTGGCACCATTTCCACTTCCCCCTCAACCATTTTGCATTCCCCTCCCGTAGCCCCATCCTACTCTGTGGATATTTACACTGCACTTGCAGACAGCACAGACAGAGCCGCCATCACCTGCACAACTCTCCGCTCCTCTCTGCTCCACTTCTACTGTAGGAAAACATGTTCGAGATCCAAAAAGGGGATAGACTGGGCCGAAATGCACTAACAACCACCGGCCACCGCCACTGCCACTGCAACTGCCACCCCCACCAGTGCTGTGCCTGTCTGCTGCTGCTCTCTGTTCGGCCTGCATGAGGGGTATGGCAACTGCCAGACTCATCTGCTCCCATACGGGAGATGATCGCCACTAGCACTGCCACTGCCACTGCCACTGCCACTGCCACTGGTACCAGCACCACCCTCCCCACCACCACCACTTGAGAATTCTCAAAAGTCACTACCACCACCACCACCCCCACCACCACCGCCACCACCACCGAGTGCTGCCCTCTGCTCCGCCTCCATGAGAGAAATGGCGACCGCCAGATTCACCTGCTCCTCGAAATCATCAGGCACTGCCAGAGGCATTCCCAGCGGCGCGAGCGATGCACGTGGCGGTGCAAGTACAGGTGCAGAAGGGGACGCAGATGCAGATGCAGATGCATGGGCATGTGCATGTGCATGGGCATGTGCATGTGCATGTGCATGTGCATGTGCATGTGAAGTTGAAGTTGAACGCCCAGGTACAGGTGAGGATGCAGCAGCACCAGAAGGGCCTTGAGTTGATGCCCGAGCTTCTGCAGCTGCTGCAGCTAAAGCTCTCTGCTCGATTGCAAGCCGGCGCTGCTGCTCTTGCCTGCGTGCTGCCCTCTCTGCTGCCCTCTGCTCCTTTGCCCGCGCTTCTGCTCGCGCTTCCGCTAAACGTCTCTGCTCCTCTAGAAACCGACGCTGCTGCTCTTCCCTGCGGGCTGCTTCTCGTGCTGCCCTTTGTGCCTCCGCTCGTGCCTCTGCAGCTGCTGCAGCTAAAGATGTCTGCACATACCGCTGCTGCTGCTGATGCTGCTGCTGATGCTGCTGCTGCAGGAAGTGACGCTCTCTGCCTTGGCTGCTGATGCTGGTGCTGCAGGTCCTGATGCTGGCGGTGATGCTGGCAATGGTGGTGGTGCTGTTGCTGATGCTGATGCTGTTGCTGGTGATGCTGCTGGGAGGGAAGACCAGGGAAAGGGGATAAGGATACCAATGGGGAGCAAGGGCCAAAGCAACGTGACCTTTCAGGCCTACTTTGTCCAAAACAAGTCTTAGGAACGATTGTTCATAGAGGTGACACTTCTGAGGATTTTTTAAAAGTGACATGGTACTTGGGGCCTACTTATACAAAACAGCTCATAGGAGCGTTTGCTGAGAGGTGTTGCGCGACGCAAGATCTTACTTGCAGGGAGAGCCAAATGGCTTGGCTGAGCATCAGCTCCTCTGTATCCTCTTCCATGTCCTCATCTCTGCTCAATCACGTAAAGAAGACACGGAGATGATACCTTAGGGAGGTTGTATCCAAGGGAGGTGGTACGTGAGGAGGTGGTATACGAGGGAGGTGGTGTGCGGTGGTGAGCGGTGAAATGTGGATAGTGATTGGTTCCCCAAGTAGCGGGTGAGTGGCACGGAGAACGCGGACAACCATGCCTGGCGAAGAGGTAGGGAGAGGTAGGGAGAAAATGGGAGAGATACTGAAACTGAAAGGTGGGAAATTTCGCCCTATAAAAGGAAAAAAAGTGGTGGGCTACGGAGGTGACAAGGAAATCGAAATGAGAAGGACAAAGAAACGGAAACAGGAAGGGAGAGGGCGAAACATGCAGTGGAGAAGGATGGATGGCAGAAAGGCAAGTGGAAGAGGGTGCAGGCACTGACGAGTTGCTCGCAAATACGGTCTGTGCCAATGCTGGTGAACCTTCTTCTGCTGCTTCTTCTCCCCATTCTGTTTCTGCTTCTTCTGCTGCTTCTTCTCCCCATTCTGTTTCTGCTTCTTCTCCCCATTCTCTTTCTGCTTCGTCTGCTGCTTCTTCCCCCCATTCTGTTTCTGCTTCTTCTGCTGCAGCTGCAGCTGCTGCTGTTGATGGTAGTGTTGTTCCTTCTTCTGCATCTGCTGCTGCTAACGCTGCTGCTAATTCTTCTGATTCTGCTGCTTCTGCTGCTTCTGCCGTTGATGACGTCTGCCCAGCCAGCCAGCCGTACTGAGAGCGCCCCTGCGGGTTTGAAGAAGTGTTATGAGACGTCTCAAAGCACTTCTTCAAATATGTGTCGACCCGATGGTGGGTTGGCAGTGTTTGAAGAAGTGTTATGAGACGTCTCAAAGCACTTCTTCAAATATGTGTCGACCCGATGGTGGGTTGGCAGTGTTTGAAGAAGTGTTATGAGACGTCTCAAAGCACTTCTTCAAATATGTGTCGACCCGATGGTGGGTTGGCAGTGTTTGAAGAAGTGTTATGAGACGTCTCAAAGCACTTCTTCAAATATGTGTCGACCCGATGGTGGGTTGGCAGTGTTTGAAGAAGTGTTATGAGACGTCTCAAAGCACTTCTTCAAATATGTGTCGACCCGATGGTGGGTTGGCAGTGTTTGAAGAAGTGTTATGAGACGTCTCAAAGCACTTCTTCAAATATGTGTCGACCCGATGGTGGGTTGGCAGTGTTTGAAGAAGTGTTATGAGACGTCTCAAAGCACTTCTTCAAATATGTGTCGACCCGATGGTGGGTTGGCAGTGTTTGAAGAAGTGTTATGAGACGTCTCAAAGCACTTCTTCAAATATGTGTCGACCCGATGGTGGGTTGGCAGTGTTTGAAGAAGTGTTATGAGACGTCTCAAAGCACTTCTTCAAATATGTGTCGACCCGATGGTGGGTTGGCAGTGTTTGAAGAAGTGTTATGAGACGTCTCAAAGCACTTCTTCAAATATGTGTCGACCCGATGGTGGGTTGGCAGTGTTTGAAGAAGTGTTATGAGACGTCTCAAAGCACTTCTTCAAATATGTGTCGACCCGATGGTGGGTTGGCAGTGTTTGAAGAAGTGTTATGAGACGTCTCAAAGCACTTCTTCAAATATGTGTCGACCCGATGGTGGGTTGGCAGTGTTTGAAGAAGTGTTATGAGACGTCTCAAAGCACTTCTTCAAATATGTGTCGACCCGATGGTGGGTTGGCAGTGTTTGAAGAAGTGTTATGAGACGTCTCAAAGCACTTCTTCAAATATGTGTCGACCCGATGGTGGGTTGGCAGTGTTTGAAGAAGTGTTATGAGACGTCTCAAAGCACTTCTTCAAATATGTGTCGACCCGATGGTGGGTTGGCAGTGTTTGAAGAAGTGTTATGAGACGTCTCAAAGCACTTCTTCAAATATGTGTCGACCCGATGGTGGGTTGGCAGTGTTTGAAGAAGTGTTATGAGACGTCTCAAAGCACTTCTTCAAATATGTGTCGACCCGATGGTGGGTTGGCAGTGTTTGAAGAAGTGTTATGAGACGTCTCAAAGCACTTCTTCAAATATGTGTCGACCCGATGGTGGGTTGGCAGTGTTTGAAGAAGTGTTATGAGACGTCTCAAAGCACTTCTTCAAATATGTGTCGACCCGATGGTGGGTTGGCAGTGTTTGAAGAAGTGTTATGAGACGTCTCAAAGCACTTCTTCAAATATGTGTCGACCCGATGGTGGGTTGGCAGTGTTTGAAGAAGTGTTATGAGACGTCTCAAAGCACTTCTTCAAATATGTGTCGACCCGATGGTGGGTTGGCAGTGTTTGAAGAAGTGTTATGAGACGTCTCAAAGCACTTCTTCAAATATGTGTCGACCCGATGGTGGGTTGGCAGTGTTTGAAGAAGTGTTATGAGACGTCTCAAAGCACTTCTTCAAATATGTGTCGACCCGATGGTGGGTTGGCAGTGTTTGAAGAAGTGTTATGAGACGTCTCAAAGCACTTCTTCAAATATGTGTCGACCCGATGGTGGGTTGGCAGTGTTTGAAGAAGTGTTATGAGACGTCTCAAAGCACTTCTTCAAATATGTGTCGACCCGATGGTGGGTTGGCAGTGTTTGAAGAAGTGTTATGAGACGTCTCAAAGCACTTCTTCAAATATGTGTCGACCCGATGGTGGGTTGGCAGTGTTTGAAGAAGTGTTATGAGACGTCTCAAAGCACTTCTTCAAAT